CCATATGCAATCCAAATGCAAGGAGGACATGCTGAGAGTAAAAGAGTTAACCGAATACCATAAGATGAGCCTAATGAAGAATAAGTTCAAGAAGCAATAGATAAGCTTAAGGATAATAAAGCCCCAGGCTCTGATGCATTGTCAACTGAATTCTTCAAGGAAGAGGAGCTCACATAGGTGTTACATAACCTTCTAGTTTTGATTTTGACTGAGAAAGTAATACCAAAAGATTAGGATAAAACAATTCTCTGCCCTATACACAAGAAAGGGAGTTTCCTTGATTGCAAAAACTACCGAGATATTTTGCTGTTACCATGTGCTTATAAAATGTTCTCCAACATTCTTCACAAACGCCTCCTGTCGGATGTTGAAAAAATCTTGGGGAAATATCAATGTGGCTTTCGCCAGGGGAAGTCCACAATTGATGAGATATTCTCCTTACGCATTGCTATGGAGCGTGGCCGAGAGAGATACCCACACACCACTTATTTGTGGATTTTCAGTCAGCCTGCGATAGTGTTCAGCGTGAACCTCTATACCAGGCCATGACATTTTTAATATACCGACCAAACTTATACGCCTGATAAAACTGACTATGGAAAAATTTGAAAATGTGGTGTGTATTCAAGTAGATCTCTCTCAAGGATTTACAGCTATTAACGGAGTCCGACAAGTAGACTCCCTTGCATTCTTATTGTTTAACTTATGTTTGGAAAATGCTGTCAGGGAGACAGGAATCCAGACAAGAGGGAACATCTTCAATCGCACAATTCAAATCCTTGGCTACGCAGAACATTTAGACATCATTGGAAGATCGAGAAAGGCTTTTAAAGAGACCTTCCTTGCCTTTGAGTCATCTGCAAAAAAAAATGGGCCTTGTCATGAACTCTCAAAAGACTAAATACTCAGAAGCCTCCTAATGAAGTTCCCTTACAATTTGGGTCCTACACATTTGAACGTGAAAGTGAATTTATATATCTGGGCTCCCAAGTAAACGAAAATAATGATATTTCGGCTGAAATGAGAAGAAGAATAGCATGTACTAATAGATGTTATTTTGGACTTCGCCGACAGTTTGGAAGCAGTTTACTTTCCAGTGTACTACCAAAATAAGACTGTAAAAGACACTCATCAGGCCTGTACTTACATACGGATCAGAAACGGGCTTTTTCTTAAAGTGATGAGCGGAACCTTTCTATGTTCGAAAGAAAGATTTTTCGACGTATTTATGGTCCACTAAGAGAGAACACAACATGGAGAAGGCGATCAAACAACGAACTGTACTCTTTACTAAAGGAAACAGATGTTAAAATGTTAAAGCTTGGCAGGCTTCGATGAGCGGGTCATGTGGACGTTCAAGAAACTCCTCGATGAAGAATTACATGGAAGAAGAGCAAGAGGCTGTCCCAAATTACGATGGTCTGATGGTGTAAATGAATATTCGAGAAACCTGATCCGTGTTCGAAGCTGGACCAAATTAACTGACGAAAGCTGCTTGAGGAGGCCAGTATCCAGTGATGGATTGTAGAGCAGATTGATGATGGTGCTGATGATAGAGATATTACTGCAATTTTTCAATTAGGTGAAATCTAACTAAGGCCAAATGAAAAATTGGAAGAGTTAAATGCAAAAGCATTTTGCTTATAACAATTCTTTACATATAGTGACTAAAATTTTAACTATCTTCTCTTAATTTTTATTCACAAAAAAGATTTTTTTACCAGTCTTGGTCTTGGTCTTGCAGCAGTTAGGCAATCTTGCACTTTGCAAGGCTAAGACCGATTTTGAACAAATTTAACAGGTAGTCGGCACCTCTTGAAAGCTTTTGAAAAGCATATGGCCAAGGGAACTCCGAAATTGAAATAAGCATTGAAATGCTATGGGTAGTTTCTGCACAAGCTCCTATTATATTTTATATTCTTGTAGCAGATTTGATGTTTGCATTTTATTTGAACAGTTGTAAATTTAATGCCATGGATTTCTTGGAGGAATCTATGATTCCTATTGATGACAATAGTATCTATTGTGCAGTGTCCTTTCGGAAGAATATTCAGACTAGGGAACAACGGAAAATATGGATCATATTACAGCGAATATAGTAGAAAACAAACTATTTTTTTTAACTTTCAAAAGCATCGTTTTTAGAAAAGAACATTTCTTGCATGACACCCCTAAGCGCCATAAATTGATAACCAAGAACTAATTATTCTAAAAAAACATCTGAACAAAGAATATATCAGGTTTTATCACGTGAAACTTTAATTTCTCACAAGAAAATTAAGTGTTTTTTTTTACAAGTGATGGAGAGGCAACTTTATTGATAAATAACGATAAATTTGATACATTAGATTAGTTTGGGAATAAGCCAACGTTACAAGGAATCATACTTTATATTAGTGTTGCCCAAAATCGGTCTTGGTCTTGCACTTAGCACGACTAAGACCGCCGCACTGTTGCAAGACCAAGACCAAGACTGGTAAAACAAATCGATTTTTTGAACAAAAATTAAGGCGAAATAGTTACTAATGCTTGCAAATTTTAAATACTATATGTAAAGAATTGGTATAACCAATATACTTTTGCATTTAACTCTTCCAATTTTTCATTCGGGCTCACTTAGGTTTCCCCGATCTTAAAAAATACAGTAATATCTCTATAGTACTAAGCTAATAGGTAACTGCAAGACCGATGCGAGACTCTTGCTCAAGACCAAGACCTAGACCAAGACTGATTTTGCAAGACGAAGACTCGTCTCGGTCTCGCATTTGGGCAATACTATTTTATGCATGGACTTTTTTTTTCTCAAACCGAAATGGTATATTTTCTTATCTAAAAATAAATATTCACTTCAAATAATCTTTTAAATTGTTAGAATTCGCACTTAAATTACTGTACTTGGTGTTAAGTCATCTCAAATGAATCTTATCTTAGCATGTGAGACATTTTGCACGTATTATATTGTCTAATTTACAAGGTCGTAGAATATACAGAGCTATTCGTTCGCAGTGCAAATTAATTCTTTGAGTAATAAAAAAAATAAAAGAGGGGAGGGGGAGAAACAGTAGAGGGGACTTAAAATAAAACGTTAGTAATAAACAAAACAATAAACTCAAGTCATTAAACGACTGTTTATTCAGATTATACATTCAAAATTTGATAAAATTAAATTTGAATTACATTATTAAAAAATAAATATAAAGATATTTTTACAAAAAAATGTATTTTGAAATGAGGGTTTTATGGTTTAATTGCGAAATATTCTTATTCAGAAGTACCCAATAAGAAAGGAAATTGAAATGTGAAAGAGTCAGAACAAATAAAAACTAATAATATTTTTTAAAATATCAATAAATGGAATATTTAAAAGAATTAAATAAAATATTAAGTATATTTTAATAATATATTTTTACTGGAATATTTTAAATTATGGAACCGAAATTTCTTTTTCCATGCTCATATTAAGTAGTCACTATTATTAAACTTTTATCTCATTGAAATTAAAATGTTCTAACTTATATTAATTAACTATATTATTCACGGAGTTCTGATTTAATAATGATTAAAATTTATTATTCTCATCTTAATTACATATATCTTTTACTAAAACATTATTGAAATTTTGTTTTAGTTTGTTATATTATTTTAATACTACTTTTATTAATAACATTGCTTGATAATTAATATAAAAATTGTTAACTATAACTGAACATTTTAAACAAAATTACCTGCATTCAGAAAAAAAAAAAAAAAAAAGGTATCCAAGAAAATATCAACATAAGTAAATTTACATTATTATATATACACATATATACTTATATAGTTTTTCCTGAAGTTAAGAAATTCAAACACAAATGCTGCACCGGAACTTGTGATTTTGAATTTGAAATTATGTATACTAAATCATCATCAATATTTCAAAAAATAAAATAAATTCAAAATAATACTAAGCTGAGAATATTTTATGATTAAGGAATTGAAAAAAACAGGGGCTTAAGAAAACAAATGTGTACCATTTCCTAAATAAGCTTCCAAAATTGAAATATAATATTTTCTATAAAGGATTTCCGTTATAGTAAATATAACTAAGCAATAGGAACAGATGCAATATTTAACGAATCATTCATAAAATTAATGCAAATTTATATTTCTAAAAAAAAAAAAAAATGAAAATACTCCAAATAAAAATATATCTAATGTAAGAAAGATAAAACTATTTTGAAACTTAATTCATCGATCTACTGATTTTTATATTTCTTCGGATATCCAGTTTAAAATTAATTAAATTAGTAGAATTTAGTAAATTCATTTTTTTTTTCTCATTTTATACATGTTCTGTTTCCTTACAGTCGAAAAATAAAATGAAATTCGTATGCGATATTTAGAAATTACATCCCCCAAATATATACATGTTTTTTGCTTGACATGTTCATTATAAAACCATTTATGCTTTCAATATAAATACTGAGATCAATTATAAATGTACAAATTATGATCCCATAAACAAAAATACTTCATTATATGTAATATTTATCTGTCCGCAGCCTATAAAATTATACAAACTCGAATGAAAAATCACATGAATCAAAATTTATTTATGAAATTAAAATTAAATGAATTAAGGGAGTACAGATGGAACAGTTTTGATGGAAAATTAACTGGTTCGACATCACAAAACTGTTATAAAAATTATATAGATATTATTTTTTGCGTGTTTCAGTCGAGTTTTGACTATTATTGATAACTGAGGATACAGTCTATATAGTGGGGTTTTAAACTTGTACTTGTAAGGAAATTTAATACAAGAATAATACCGGAAGGGCTAAAAAAATAATATATCCTTCTAGTAAAAAAATATTCAGCAACTTTATTAAAATTAAATTCGAAACCGTATAAAATAAAGCACTGGTCAAATTTCTATTCAATTTATTTATTATGTTTAATTCGAAAGCAAAAGTAAATATAAATATAATATACAGAGATACAGATAAGCTAGGTAATACCTGCACTTGGCTCCATTCCCGCAGGTTGACTGGAGAAAGCACCCGACACGCCCAGACCAATGGCCGAATGGCCGCGCCCACTTCACTATTTTCAGAGCAACAAGCTCCGCCCACATTTCCCCCTCCACCGCCTACCTCAAACACTATCCCCTCTCCTTCTCTACATTAAATGTATATATGTATATTTTTTGTATATAACAACATATTGCAATGCTATTGATATTAATGTTATATGAGAAAACATAAGTTCTAACTACACCATAATAAATAAAGAGATGATACACCATCAAGAAAAATTAAAATAAATCACAACAGTCTCGGCTACAAAATAAAAAATAAAAAAAACCTTGGTTCAAATTAAGTGTATTTATGAAGAAGCAGTAGTGGATCTAGGATTTAATGTTGGCTCCTTTTTTAATTTTTTTTTTTTTATACCGGTAATTTCTAGAAGAAAAAGAAGAAAACTACCTATATGAAATGTTTAGGTGATCCCTGAAGGCTAAAAAAAAGTATATATATATATATATATATATATATATATATATATATATATTAAAACTTTAATATTAAATAAACTATTTAAAATGAAAATATAATTTGATTGTTTAAGCATTTTGGTTAAATCACACGGGAAAACCAATATGGACCAATGAAAAAAATAAAATATCCATTTTAGGGGATTGCAGTCAGTGGGAAACATAAATAAAAATATTAAGACCTTCATCAGAGGTGGGAAAAGACAAGATAACAACCAAAAAAACTGATTTAACAAATATTGTTCAAAAGATATGAGAACAAAATATATATGTTATCTGCTAATAAATTAATTCTAAGGAGTAATTTTAATAAAGAGATGATTCACCATCAAGAAAAATTAAAATAAATCACAACATTCTCGGCTACAAAAAAAAAAAAACCTTGGTTCAAATTAAGTGTATTTATGAAGAAGCAGTAGTGGATCTAGCATTTAATGTTGGGAAGAGACTTATTTTTTTATGTAACGGTAATTAGTCTAGAAGAAAACTACCTATATGAAATGTTTAGGTGAACTCTGAAGGCTAAAAAAAAAGTATGCATATAAATATATATATATATATATATATATATATGTATATATATATATATATATATATTAAAAGTTTATATTAAATAAACTATTTAAAATGAAAATATAATTTGATTGTTTAAGTATTTTGCTTAAATCACACACGAAAACAAATATGGGCCAATGAAAACAATAAAATGTCCATTTTGGGGGATTGCAGGTAGTTAACATAAATAAAAATATTTTATTTTGGGCCGATGTTTCGCCCTAAGTTTAAGACCTTCGTCAGAGCTGAGAAAAGACAAGATAACAAAAAAAAAAAAAATGATTTGACAAATATTGTTCAAAATATACATATTATCTGCTAATAAATAAATTCTAAGGAATAATTTTTATAAATAAATTATTATTTTTTTTTTTATTCATTGATATTTACAACTGTATTATATAAAAAAAATACAACTAGTAAATGTGCACTCAGGAATATAATAACATGAAATCTCTTGTTGAGAAGCTATCCACTGATAGCATTCAAATAAATTAATTAAAACTAAAAATATATAAATATTGTATTTATTCCTAAGCCGCGATGAAGCCCTGAAATTTAGTTCGGAACAAATTAAAATGTTTTTTTAATATTGATTTGTGATTCTCACTGACTGGAACCCCCAAATGTCTTCTCGACCACATTACCTGTACAGTCAATCATATCTTCACTATTAAAAATTAAAATATTTGGTTCACGTCCAAATAATTTTAATATGTGCCTTATCAAACTTTTCCCCTCTTTTTTATAATATAATTTTTGTGACAATTTTATATTTTGTAATGCCGTACTTACCCACATTGCTATTAATTAATTATCTTTCTAGACTAAAATATGCCAACAAGGGCAGATTACGGACGTGGTGTCGCCTTTTTCAACGAACTTTTTTTTTGGTGATACTTTGTCGAAAAATTTTAGACCCAAGGCCGAGGATTCTCGCCAATGCGCCCTAGGAACGAAGTAAAATAATTATTTTATATAATTTCACACAAATTTTTTTCTTTGCCCGGATTTTTAGATTATTTTATAACAATCGATTACTTTTTTTGTGCAGTGTAAGAAAAATTTATTGATTTTAGTATTAAATGAGTTTTTTTTTTCTGTTTGCATTATAGGCCTTGTAGATATTTTGCATCTTTTAAAGGAATTATTAAGTATCTTAACAAAAACTAAAAGGGGCTTCCAGTAAAGTAGGCCATGTAAATTTTAGAAATGAAAAAGAAAGTTACTTTCGTTTTTAGCGTTTTTTAAAACTCACAAATTCGAATTTGTATACATATTAAAAATCTCAAATTTTAGTACGTATAAGGGGCTTGTGTTTTCGGCCGTAAACTAAAGCATGCCATGAAGATTGTATCTAAATTCAAAGTTGGATTTTTGATATCCATAAAAATTTGTATTTGTGAGTTTTAAAGAACGCTAAAAACGTAACTTTCTTTTTTATATAAAAAAAAAACATGGTTTACTGGAAGCCCTTTTTAGTTTTTGTTACTTAAGATAATAACTCATTTCTAACCGCTTCTTTTTTCAGAATTAACAGAATTTCCGATATCTATCCCGTTAAAGCCGGTGTTCCCCAAGGAAGCGTCTTGGGTCCCGTGCTTTACACCCTCTTTACCGCTGACATCCCTGTTCATCCCCCTCCCTTGCATCATTCACTGATGACATTGAAATCTTATCATCTAACTCTGATCAAGAAATAGCCTCCTCAAATCTGCAAAGATACCTCTCCTTAATTGAGCGCTGGTGTGATAACTGACGTATTAAAGTGAATGAATCCAAATGCCAACATATTACTTTTACACTCCGATGCAACTCCTGTCCACCAATACACTTTAATTCCATCCAGCTTCCTTTCTCAGACACAGTCCGGTATCTTGGCTTTCTTTTAGACCGAAGACTAACATGGAACCCACATACTAGTCTCAAAAGACAGAAACTCAACCGGCGATACGGCCAACTATACAGACTACTGAACAAAAAATCTAAACTTTCAATTGAAAACAAATTACTTATCTACAAGACGAACCTGAAACCTATGTGGACATACGGACTTGAACTGTGACAGCAAAATTTGCTAACATCAAACTCATTCAATCCTTTCAATTTAAAGTCCTTCGAACAATAGTACATCCTCCATTCTATGTAACCAACAAAACCCTACACGATGACCTTAACATAACATTTGTCCTAGACTTTATCCCCAAAAAAAATCTCCACATTTCACCACAGCCTTATATACCATCCAAATCCCCCTGCACAATCCATCCATACAATCCTCCTCGAAGGTTGAAGCGGCAGTGGCCCAGAGACCTTTTGTAAATAAGTATGTATTGGAGTTTTGGCATCGGCCAGCTTCTCCACCCAAGCCATGTATGTATGATTATAGCGCCTCTGGTCAGCCTGCACTGGTCCTTAACACCAGTAATGCGGCTGAGTGAGAGGCGCTGGGATTTTCTAGTGTCCTGGCTCGGAGATCTTGAGTGAATGAATTTTTTTTTTAGATATTGTATAGAAGAATGTGTATATTTGGCTGGTTGTTTTCGTTATTTTAGCTTATTTTAGTTTATATACATTTACTTTTAGTATTATTATTTTTCTTATTTTTGTTTATTGTTGATAGAGTGTGAATGTGCTCTCTGAACACTATTATAAATATCCTTAATTGTGACAGATTGTAATATCTCTCAATAAATATGTTAATAAAAAAAAAAGATAATAACTCATTTAATACTATAATCAATATGTTTTTCTTGTTCTGCACAAAAAAAAAGTAATCGATTGGTAATAACAACCTAAAAATCTGGCAAAAATCAATAACAAATCTTTTTCTAAATCTTATATTTTTTTTCCCTTGGGTTCAAAGGGCACATTGACAAGAACCCTCGGATATAGGTCTAATATTTTTCGAGTTATTATTACTCATGTAGGTAAGATGTCATTTTTATAGTACATATTATGTAAAAAAATATAATGAAAATCATTGTTTGTTTTACTTAAATTTAAATATTGCTATTTCATTTTTTTTATCATAATTATTATCGTCCTTAATTGAAATAAAATTGTATAATACTCAATGAAAACTGTTTAAAAATAAATTAATAATGTTATCATAACCAACCTTGTTGGTGGTTGTAGTTTTATAGTTTTTGTGAGATCTTGATATAATTATTGCGAGAAAACAAAAATAAGCTTTATGCTTATTTTAGTATAATCCTTACATTTAATCAATAAACTATTAATGATTTGCAAAAGCCCTCATTACTCCCACAATTTTATTTTATCAATAAAAAATCTCTTTAACAAGATTTTATTTTATTTTTCGACTTTAATGCCATTTAAAAATATTCTAAAAAAACAAACAATATTTTAATGTATTTTTATGACTTTTCCAATCCTCCCGATGGCCAAAAGAAAATAGTTGTTCGAGATTAAAATTCAAATTTTTTTTTTAGGAATAAATAAATAAATTCAATTTTTAAGCTCAGTTATCAGTTTCGTTTATGGTATAATTAATATTAAATTTAATAAAAATTATGCACGTTTTTATGAAATGGTAGGTTTGTAAAAGGAGCAAATATAGTTCATTGTATAAACCATAGGTAGGGAACTTGCGTCCTCCAAGCCGCATACGGGCCTTTGTGTGAACTAGATGCGGCCTCCGTTTGTTTTTGAGCGGTCCTTATTAGTCTGGCGCTAGAATTTATTAATATTTTTTTTTGTTTAGGTTACGAAAATTAAAAAATTTATTGAATTAAGTTGAATACATGTTTATGGGGTTGTATTTACTAATAAAATAAATAAAAATAGAAGCAAAGTAAAATATAAAAATATATTGCGGCTTCGATCATCACACAAACCATACCAACCATAATAAAAAACAATTTTAATTAACTTGTTTATTTGCTTTATATTATTTTAATACGCGATCTTCTATTTGACTTTATTTTAAATTTATAGCAAATGATTAAATATTATT